ACAAGAAACCTTCCACAAGAAACCCAACCCTGAGACCCAAGGACGTCCTTTGATGTTTGGTGTGGGAGCGTCACGCCTTCCATAGCAGAACCATCGAAACCCAAGAAACCCAGAGCACCCTGGAGGCAAGCAGGGTATTTCTTGGCATGCGCCTCCTCTGTAGTCACTGTAGCGCGTGTACACACATGTGTATATATATATATATATATATATATATATATATATATTAACACTATTCTAATAGATAATATGTATATAAACACATTTATAATTACACCACATAATATATGTAATATATATATATATATATATATATATATATTATATATTACATATGTATGCATACACCTACATATACGTATACATATACATTTACATTGACCTATACATTTACATATGCGTAAACATATACAAATACATGCACATATGTATGCTTCGCGCCGCCTTCTTTTCGGCGCAAGCCAGCCCAATGAACGCACGAGCACAAGCACGAGCACGACCTGGCCCCCCAAGCAACAGTCATGCCCACCAGGGCACCATCCACAGAGTGCGCCGACCCCCAGAACAACGTCCACGCCGACATGATCGGAGAATGGAGCCGAGACTGCTGGCGAATTGAACCGCCCCGATCGAGCCCAAGTCAGCATCAAACCGAGCTGGCGCAAGTTGACGGAGAATAAGAACATCCGCATCGGAACCGCCACGGGCTGCGTCTGGGAGCTGCCGCCGAACCGAACCAAAACGGACGCCCAGAGGGGAAGGGGGAATGCGAGGAGGACAACGGCGGCGAGAACAATGACGGTGCTTGGAGGTCCCAGGAGGCCTCCGAAGGGTCCCCAAAAACCTGGCAGTGCTAGGACAAGCCACCCCTCGAACCTAGCTGTCCCGAGGGTCCCCAAAAATCTGGCAGTGCTGGGACAAGCCACCCCTCGAACCTCGATGGACGACGACGCACGACGACGACGACGCACGAACGACGACGACGGCGACGACGACTACCACGACAAGGAGGAGGAGGAGGAGGAGGAGGAGGAGGAGGAGGAGGAGGAGGAGGAGGAGGAGAGGACGACGAGGACGACGAGGGCGACGGCAACGACAACGAGGACGAGGACGACGACGGCGACCACGGACGCACGACGACGCACGACGACGACGGCGACGACGGACGACGACGGACGACGACGCCGACGACGGCGACGACGACGGCGGCGGCGGCGGCTGCCTCGGGCCGAGGGGTCCGTCGCCGCAGCAGGGGCAGCCGCGCAGGGAGGCCCACGGGCCCCCGAGCACGCAGAGCAGCGGCGCGGCGGCGGGGGCACGCCGCCTGGGAGGGGTCGTCGTCGTCGTCGTCGTCCGTCCGTCCGTGGTCGCCGTCGTCGTCGTCCCTCGTCGTCGTCGTCGAGCCTCGTCGTCGTCGTCGAGCCTCGTCGTCGTCGTCGTCGTCGTCGTCCCTCGTCGTCGTCGTCCCTCGTCGTCGTCGTCGTCGACGTCGTCATCGTCGCCGCCGTCGTCGAGCCTCGTCGTCGTCGTCGAGCCTCGTCGAGGAGCGGGGGGAGGAGGCGAGCGCCGTGACCTTCCAACTGACCTTCATCTGCCGTGCCGCAGCGAGGAGGAGGGGAAGAAGGAGGAGGGGGGGAGGACGAGTACATCCAAGATGTACCAAGGATGCTGTAACACATCACCCTCCCATCCCGAGCGCCCTCCCCAAGCGTCCCTGCAAACTGTCCTCAATACACTGCTGGAAAAAAACTCCCTTTAAAAGACCAACACAATTGGGCCGGCCATTGAGGCGAGGGCCCCGCATTGAAACGGAACTGTCTTGCATTCTTCTGGCGCGTCTCAGGAATGCGAATAACTATGAACCCGGCGCGAACCCAATTAGGGGAAAGCTTCCCAAGTAAGCAACTAAGCAAGGAAGGTATTTCTTTGCTTGGCTGGGCGTTGCATTGCATGGCGTTGACTGGCGTTGTTGTGGGTTGCTTGGCATTGCCTTGCTTCGCTTAGCTTGGCACTGCATTGCGATGCATTGCTTGGCATTACCTGGCATTGCTTGGCGGTACTTGGCATTGCTTGACATTACTTGGCAAGGCGTTGCTGTGCACTGCTTGGCATCGAATGCCATGGGCTGGCATTGCCTGGCATTGACTGGCATGCATTGACGCTGCTGCATTGCTTTGCCTTGCTTGGCACGGTTTTGCTCTGCTCGGCATTGCTTTGCCGTGCAATACATTACTGGGCCTTGATTGGCATTGCTTTGCTTTGCTTAGCTTGGCATCGCATTACATTGCTTGGCATTGCCCGGCACTGCTTGGCATTGCCTGGCGTTGTCTGGCAAACCGAAGGAAGTCAAGAAACAAGACCAAGCAACCCCAGGAAGGCAGTCAAGAAACAACATGAATCAACCCTACTAGAAGGGCAATCAAGAACCAAAACCAAGCAACCCCATCAAGGCAGTCAAGAAACAAAGCCAAGCAAGAGTAGGAAGGCAGTCAAGAAACGAGACCAACCAGCCCTAGGAAGGCGATTAACAAACAAGGCCAAGCAACCGCAGGAAGGCAGCTGCGACGTAAGACCAAGCAACTGGAGAAACGCAGTCCAGACATAAGACCAAGCGCAACCCCAGGCAGGCAGTCAAGGAACAGCAAGCAAACCGATTCTTCGAAACCAAATTTTCTGAGACGTCTCCAACCCCTTCTCCACGCGAGGCGACTATTTATATGAACGCTCCAGACAAAACAGCACACTGCGAGATGTAAACGATCTGCGTGGCCACTGCCTCCGCCGTGCCTCCCAGGACCCCACCAGAGTGGCGACGGTTGCGCAGCTCGCAGCCCCCCGAGAGAGCCTCGAGGTCTCAACTTCACCCCCGCTGCCCTCGCCCCCGCCGTGCCTCCAAGGAGCACCCCGGGAGGGAGGAGGAGCCGAGGAAGAGGAGGGAGGAGCCGAGGAAGAGGAGGGAGGAGGAGGAGGGGAGGAGGAGGAGGGGGGAGGAGGGAGGAGGAGGAGGGGGCGGAGGGGGAGGAGGAGGGGGGAGGAGGAGGAGGAGGAGGAGGAGGAGGAGGAGGAGGAGGAGGAGGAGGAGGAGGAGGAGGAGGAGGAGGAGGAGGGAGGAGGAGGTGGCGCAGCTCGCAGCCCCCGGGAGAGAGCTCTATATTCAAGACGAGAACCCCACCAAGGGAGGGTTGGGAACCGGAGCCCCTTTCGGCAAGCCTCCTTCGAGGAAGGAACGCCCCGCGCCCGTGCGCTACGCAAAGCCACGCTCGTGGTCAGCAGATTCCGGGAGGTCGGTGCGAGAGCTCCATTTTGAAAAAAAGCCGCCCTGGGTCAGTGCAGTGCTACAGGGATCGACCTAAACAATGTTTTTCGTTGTCGTTTTGTTTTCGTTTTCCCTCGTCTTGTGTCGGGCGTGTCCCCCTACAGGGGGAATTTCGACGAAAATCCCAAAATACCCCCAAAATACCCCAAACAGGTAAAAAAAACTAAAAAAATAGCCTCCCGACTATTTTGAGAGCATTTTTGAAACAATTTTGGGGGTATGTTTTATTTGTCGTCGAAAATCCCCCTGTAGGGGGACAGGCCCGACTTAACCCTAGTCTTGTCTCCAACCCGCCTTTGCTGCAGATCAAGACCGAAGCGAACACGGCCCACGAGATCGCCGAAACAACGTCGAGGTCGATCCCTGCGGTGCCACATGTGTTGAAGCTTTGGGTCTCTCAGATGAGCGGGGTCCCGCGCAGGAGGAGGATGAGGAGGAGGAGGAGGAGAAGGAGGAGGAGGATTAGGAGGAGGAGGAGGAGGAGGAGGAGGACGGAGGAGGGGGAGAGGGAGAGAGATGGAGGTAGGAGGAGGAGGAGGAGGAGGAGGAGGAGAGGAGGAGGAGGAGGAGGAGGAGGAGGAGGAGGAAGGAGGAGGAGGAGGAGGAGGAGGAGGAGAGAGGAGGAGGAGGAGGAGAGCGGGGGGAGGGGGTTGGAGGAGGAGTAGGGAGGATGGAGAGGAGGATGGAGGATGGAGGAGGGAGGAGGGAGGAGGAGGAGGGAGGGGGGGAAGGAGGCGGAGGAGGAGGAGGATGGAGGAGGAGGAGGAGGAGGAGGAGGAGGAGGAGAGCCCCAGCTCGAGGGCGGCCCTCCGTCCTCCTGGCCGCTGCGTCAACCGCGGCGGCGCGCGGCGCCGAGGCGAGAGCCGCCTCTCCACGCACATCTCCCTGCCCCGACCTCGCAGACGTGCTGCAGCGGATTCTTTTCGCGTGGATTCTGTCAATGCAGAAGCCCGAGACTGCGAGCGAGAAGCGAAGCGAATCTCGCGTGGATGTGTTTAGTCTTCACTCCTGGCCCAGCCCACCAAAAAAAACGCACGAAATCCACCTCGAAATCCGGAAAGAAATGTTCCAGGACTCTCCGGGCCCATCCTATCGTTTTCCGAACGAAGTCCGCTCTGCGATGTTGGCGCGATGACACACAGCCTGTGCTCAATCGTTGAGGCTGCTGCCAAATGCTCCGCATCTTGACACGAACGCGCGCAGCGCCAAGGCGAGAGCCCCATTTTGAAGAGGAGCCGCCCTCCGCGGAGGAGGGGGAGAGGGAGGAGGGCGAGGAGGAGGAGGAATGGGGGAGGAGGAGCAGGAGGAGGAGGAGGGCGAGGAGGAGGAGGGGGTGGAGGAGGAGGAGGAGGAGGAGGAGGAGGAGGACGGGGAGGAGGAGGAGGACGGGGAGGAGGAGGAGGAGGAGGAGGAGGAGGAGGAGGAGGAGGAGGAGGAGGAGGAGGGGGAGGGGGGTGGAGGAGGAGGGAAGAAGGAGTGGAAGAGACTGCGACCTGAAGCTGCTGCAGACTCTGAAGACGAACGCGGGCAGCGCGGGAGCCGGAGCCACGGCCTCAAAACCGTGACGCTGCTGAAAACTTGTGGGGCGAAGGTTCGCGGCGCTAAGGCGGGAGCTACAGCTCGACCAGGAGCCGCCCTCCAGCCTTGAAGCTATAGTGCAAGCTTGCGAGGCGAGCGCTCGCCGCACTGAGGCGAGAGCCGCAGTTTGAGGAGGAGCCGCCCCCCCATCCTCGAAGCCGGGGTGACCTTGCGAGACGAAGGTTCGCCACACCCGGGCGAGAGCTACCTTTTTCGTTGCATCGGCACTGTGGCCGTACCCCCTCAGATAACTTCGGGACCTTCTGCCAGTCCAGTGCGCTATGTCACGGCCCCTGCGGTCTCCGCGGGCGTCGCCCATCAGATGTGTCCAGTGCGCGGCAGCACAGGCCCTCTGGTCCGAGGAGCCGGTATTTGGGGGGCAATGACAAGTCGAGCAAGATGCAGCCTAGTCCGAGCGATAAGCCGAAGAACAAAGCGAACACCATGATCAGTTCAGCGGGCACGCCAGCGCAGCCGATGTCATCATCGCCAAGCCGGCCGATGTCGGCCTGCACTGTTTTCAGAGTGCTAAGGTACGAGGCGGGTAACGGGCGACCGATCACGGAATTTTCGTGAAATTGATGATAGGCTTCACCGCGGAAAAAAGGATACACCAAAGAATCGTACACATAGACCACGTATTCATCTTCCGTGTCGTCGCCAGTGGAGCCCCCATTGGCGCGTATCAAGGGCATACTGTAAATGTTGGCAGCCTGGAAGAGGGGCCACCATTCAATGTTGTCCATGCCGCCTGGCAGTCCGATCACGTTACGATACTCAGCACCCATGTCCTGCGGGTCCAAGCGCTGCCTGCGGCCGTCCACCGTCTGGAAACCGTGTTCAAAATATGCTTCTGCGAGCGCAGATATCTGCGCTGACGCATCGGCACCAGATGCGGCGTCTATAGTTACAGAAACCGCTTCTGCATGACCTAAGCGACCATAATCGGTGTGGGGGAGGCCATGATAACAGACCGAGCCACTCTGGCTCTCGTACAGGCCTCCTGCGTAGCCGACCAGTGCAGTCACCTCCCCATCGGTGCGGTTGCCAAACGCGCTGCCCTGCTCCACCATAACGACGTCGTACTGAGTATGCCAAAAGCAACCGTTACCTAGATAGATCGATCTCCCTGGATCGTTCAGGCGATGCTCCGGCGGACCATCGATGCGCGCCGAGAACGGCGGCGGCGACAGCAAGCACCACAGTGCTCCAAGCAGGCCACCCCCCAGCAGGACGGCTCCCCCGGCAGAGGCACAGGGCCGTGCTGGCACGCTCAGCGCGTCCACCACGCCCACGGTGCGCTTGTAGGCGCAAGCACTGGCAGCCACACCACCAAGCACCGAGACGACCAAGAGGATCAGCATCATGACAGCCATGATGACTCCAGCGGGGCGACGGTGATCAGAGGAAGCCTATGCCGACTGGGCCATCACGGCCTGAGCAGCAACTCGAGCCAATATGGCCACGGTTGGCGAGAGCTATAGTTTGAAAAGGAACCGCCCTCCATCTTTGAAGCTGTTGCAAAATTTGAAAACGAATGTGCGCTGCGCGAATGCAAGAACCACATTTGAACCCCCCATCCATCCCTGGAACTGTTGCAAACCTCAAGCTTCACGATCATAAACCTCAGGCGAAACGCCCGGCCCGCCCTCCTGACATGTTCAGGGGTGCGAAAGGGAGGAGCGATTCCTCAATTAAGCTTTGCCTTAGGGGTTCTCACTTGTTTGTAATGAAGAATATGGTGGGTGCCAGACGCGGTCGTCGCTGGGTTCCCCCGGGGTCCTTGGTCTTGTTTCCTTGCATGTGGGTTCATCAGGGTTCCTTTGTCTTGTCTTGTTTCGCTGCCAGGCGCTGCCTGGGTTCTCTTGGTTCCTTGGTCTTGGTTGCTTCGTTCCAACTAGTTGGGGTCGCGCCAGGTTCATGAATAAGGAAAGGGGACTGACGAGGAGGAGGAGGAAGAACAGGAGGAGGAGGAACAGCAGGAAGATGATGATGAGGAGGAGGAGGAGGGGGAGGAGCAGGGAGGAGGAGGAGGAGGAGGAGGAGGAGGAGGAGGAGGAGGAGGAGGGAAGAGCAGGAGGGAAGAGGAGGCGCACCGCCTCGAAGGGAGGGGGGGGGGCGGGCAGGACTGGCGGGGTGGGGGTCTCACGGACGGGCCTCCGGAGCTGCTGCCTTCCCAGACCTCTCCGGAGCCACCCGGGCCTCACTTATGCTGCATCCTCGGGGGACAAAGAAAAATAATCAAAACTAGTCGTCACCATACTATGTTTTTACTGCTTTCGAAAATTCAGCCCCGACTCAACATCGCTGTCGGACCAAAAGTCGGTACCGCCCTGGGAACGCCACCAGAGGTGCACGCGGCGCTGGCGTCGCCCTCGGCCACCCGCAGCTGGTCTGCGAGGTCAGGTCAGAAGCCGTGCCACTTATGTTGCATCCTCGGGGGACCTTGTCTGTCCCGTCGCGGCCCTGTCCGCGTCGAATGCGTGTCGAATCCCTGTCGGACGCGTCGGATCCGTGTCGAATCCGTGTCGAATCCGCGTCGAATCCATGCCAAATCCGCGTGGAGTCCGCATCGAGCCCGCGTCGGGCCCCCCAAAAGACACCAATTTTAGGGACAGGCGAGGTCCCCCGAAGATGCAACATAATCACTACAGTCGGACCTAGGCCAGAAGAACATACTTCAAGAACATGAGACCCTCCGTCGGCCGGAACAACATCTGAGGGCAGCCTCCTCAGGAGGCACAAGAAAATCCAGCAAGCACGAAGGACACCAGGGCATCCTCCCCGCACCGACCTCGATCTTGTACCTAGGTCCGACTGTATGGGTCGATCTGCTTGTGGCAGTCCTCTGCGGGCTTCGTGTGATGACTGTGATGGACGCATCACTCACTTGCCTTACGCCTTGAAGCATGCTCCCCTCCTGGGTCGGGTGCCGGGTGTGGAGTGGAGCTTCTCTTCAGGGGCTCAGTCGAAGCACCGGCAGCAAGTATCCTAGGCCTTGAGATCCAGGGTAGAGTCCTCCCTCCCCCTCCCCAAGAGAAAGAAACAACTGCATGAACATAAGTCGTTGAAAGTCAACGCGGATTTCTTGGATACCGAACCCCTCCCTGGAGCGCGGAGCGCGCCACGGGCGGCGCCGGAGGCACCGCCAGGTGCATGGTTACGCAGGTGTTCCTAATCGATCCCCCCTCTAGGTGGTGGCACCCGAACCCTACCCCCACCTCCCATCGGTTCTCTCGAATCGCACATTCGGCTTTAAAGTTCGCAGAGAGTCTCAAGGATGGCGGAGGAGGAGGAGGAGGAGAAGGAGGAGGAGGAGGAGGAGAAGAAGGAGGAGGGTGATTGTCAAGACGTGGCTCCCGCCCTCGAGGCCGGACTCTCCGGCGCGCTCGGTGGCTTCCGAACCCTACTCCTGCGGCCCGTCGAGCCGCCCGAGTCGTGAGCCGGCGAGGGCAGGGCTCGGCCCTCGCCGCCGACTCCTCCCTCCTCCCCCTCGACGAGCGGCAAACATACAGTGCGAGCGCGGCCGCAAGAAACCCTCCTCAAGAAACCCAGCCCCGAACACCCGCGCGAGAAATGCACCGGAGGGGAAACCTGGAGCACTCTTGAACACAGCAGCTCCTTCAGCGGCCGCGGGAAGTCGCCGCGCAGCGCGCGGGGCGAAGAAGCCCGGGATGCCCTGACGAAATGCGTGTGGTTTCTTGATGCGCGCCCCCGCTGTACCCTTGTGGATGCCACGCCAATGGACACCCTGACAGTCCTATCATTGAACTTGTCGGAAAAATGTTCTAAAGATGTTTGAAACATGTTCCTGTACATGCTTGAAACATGTTTAACACATGTTTGAGACATCTGGGAAGTATTTGCCAGTATGCTCCCTCTCCACTGATCGTCCTCCACAACTGCACAGTCGGAGCATTGACCCAAGGAACCCTCAACGAGGAACGAGGCCCCTTTTTCCCATGAGTTGCCCTTCGATTCCCCATCGTACTTAAACCTACAGAAAGCCTGAGGCAAGCTGTACAAAACGACTGAGGTGCACGGAGCCC